CGATGGAAGTTCACCCAAAAACGGTGGACGAACCGGACGATATTTTCGGTGCCCTTACGCCATAAAACGGTCCCTCCTCCCCCTCTAAGCATCTTAAAAGGGTGTTTCAAAAGAGAGAGAGAGAGAGAGAGAGTAACGAGGGGAAGGAGTGAATGGAAGATGGAGGAGTCGGGGGGGAACTAATGTCGAAGTGTGTAATTACGGTTCTCGATCTTGACAATTAGGAGGCCGTGGAAGCTGTCGGTAGCGAATAGGCTGCCACTTAGCTGCCGAAATTCCCAACAGCCTTATCTTGGCGAATCGGGCTCGGTTATTCGTCGGGCTCTTCTAATTAAGAGGGGCCCCGCTGATTTTTCTTTTTTCTTCTTCTTCTTCCCTACGAAATTGCTCCCCGGACGACTATTCTATAGACAGTTCGACGACGTTTTGTCGCGAAATTGCCTAATTTCCTTTTTTTTTTCTTCTCCTTTCTTTTCTTTTCTTTTCTTCTCTTTTCCCCAAAAGGGGCTGTTTTCGGTGACGCTTTGTTTCTTTCAAATGCGATATCGTTTTTCGTTCGAACGCAGTGCTTTAAAGTGTGTGTATATAGAGAGATTAAAAAGATATTTGGTTTGTGGTTCTTTAAGATTTCATTCGATTTTATCAGAATTTTAAGATATTCATGTATGGTAGAATGATGTGGATACATTATTATTTATTATATTTTTATTTTTCTTTTCTCTTTTTGCGAAATTATTTCATTAACATGTGTAATTATTATGCATAGTTCTTTTTTTTCGAAATGAAATCATGTTATTTCGGTTATTGGTTATTAATTTATTACAATCTATATTTTAATATTTTGTGCAATCTTCATATATTATCATTTTCAATTATAGGTAATGATTATCTTTTCTTACAGGAGAAGGACATTTTTCTCGGTATATTTAATAAGAAATATAATAAAAACTGCTACATAATACTGAATGATTATAATTTTTCGAGAAACTTAACTGCAATATAATATCGGCATCGGTAAAAAATTTCAAAATTTTATCGAAACAAAAACCTTCAAGAATAATCACAATTCAAATCTACACTCGAATTCTACAAAAATTCAAGTAGAAAATTCAAAAGCTGTAGCCTTTGAGACATTGCAAACAGCGCCATCTGCAAAATCTCTTCGTTAATTCCTCAATTTCATCACTCGAAATTCTAAGGTTAATAATTCGTCTCAGAATTGAAACTCCTCACAATTTAAACACACTTCTCACGCGAAAGATCCGATTCACCATGGATCAACACGGTCCAACTGGCGACGTATCGAAGATGATGATGATGATGATGATGATGGTGATGGAACGTGTTGTCATTTGCATGTGGCCCACGTGTCGCGGGTCCCGTTCCTCGCGGAGCGCGCCACAATGGCGGCGGCAATCAGACGCTTTTTCACAGGGAATACATTATCTTTCGACCAGTTGATGCGCCTTCAAGTTAACCAGCGCAAATTGTGATTTGGCGACAGCCGAGACCACGCGGAACGAATCCGCGAGATTCGATGTAACGGCGAAGTAATGGCGTACGCACGAGCCAGCTCCGCCGCTAATGGGATTAATGCTCGTTCTGGACGATTATGTGTAAATATGGACACCGTTCCTCGGTTTATGGTCGTTGCGATTTAGCGAGCTTTCGAGTCGGGAACGGAAAGGGGAAGGTTTTCGAAAAGTTTTAAACTCGATCTGGTGAAAATTTGACGATGAATTTGACGAAGAATCGGTCTTGAAGAAGGAATTTTTTTTTTTGTATTTTGATTCAAAGTTTTTGGAAGTGTAAGAAATTTAATTTAATTAAATTTCCTTTGCTTTGTGTATGTTCTATGCAAATTAATATTTTGGCGAATATAATTATGGAGAAGTGGGAATGAGACTGAATTGAAATTTGTTTCGTTCGTTTCGGAATGTGTGTGTTTCGTATATTTTTACATGTTTAAATTCTTCGTGAATTTGACAGGAGAAGATTTGCTGTCTATTTATTTGTGTCTCTGACAGTATTTAAGATAATACATTTTTATCTTTGATATATATAAAAAAAGAATACAAAATATATTTGAAAAATATAAAACTAAGATCGAAAGTGAATAGAATAGTTGATTGAGAAATAGAAAATTAACTAAATTTTCCATTCATAATTTAATGAAATATTTACAATTAATGTTACAAAGGTATATTTCTTATATACTTTTAAAAATAGTCTTTGCACAATCTTTATGATA